GTTTAAGTTTTTATAGTCCTGGAATACCCTGAATTAAGCCTTCCAAGATCCGAACCGAGCTCTCTTACCTTGAGGCCCTTGAAATTCTAAATATCAACATTACTGAAAACCTGTATTATTATGGGGCTGTATATTCGGTAGGTTCCTAAACGCGTTTTAAGGGTGTGTATTTATGAGGGTATCTATTAAAAGTAGGGTTTTTTTAGTACCCTGACAGGGACGGGGGCGAGATCTGCAACTGGAACCTCATCCTCGGAACCGTTATCGCATTAATTTTCTTTTCGTTTGTATAATTCCACTTGCACCACCGGAATTAAACTGTAACTTATTTGTTATCTGTCTCTAGTCATTTTCTGCTTCTAAACACTGGTCTTGTCGTTAAATTTAGATATATCTAAAACTCGCTCTACAGCATCAATAGCAAATCAACGCGCCGACTCCAGCTCCAATTATTCATGCTCTTATTCGCACAGGCGCTATCTCCACTACTTTTCGAGTTGATCCCGGCATTTGTATTAGTTTTTGGAGGTGTAATCGGTATAGAATGTCCCTATAACCCTGAGAACCCTAAAAAAATTAGGTTTCCCTCACAACTGGGGTCTATGCATCCCCATCGTCATGGCCGGGTATTCGAGTTGCGATGCCATTTTAGTATTGATACTTTTCAAGGTAAACTTCTTATCCAGCGTTGCTTAGTACGTTTCAGGCCTATCGACAGCGGGTGGTAGCGATTTTGAAAATGGACATCTGGCTGGATCGCAGCCGCATCTTCCGCACGGCCGACACCAATGAGAGAGAGCCGCACCGGTCGACGAAACACATCGAAAAGGGAGCTAGTGAATAAAAATTTTGTAAAATTCATGGAATTCGTGGATAACCAACTAAAAAACAAATCCCAACACAGCAGTAAGCTGCGCTAAAATCTACCATACGGTTTTGGTGCAGCGCTAGATCACGGATTGAGCTTTCAGTACCACGGTTGCGGTAGATTTCCTTTCATTTTCATTTATTTTCATATTTATCATTAGTTTCCATCATCATAGGATGCTGTGCACACTTGAATATCACGACTCGGCTAGCTCACTAGCTGCCGTTCTCGGCGTTGTCACCAACCTATTTCTATTGTTTGTGATCTTTACTGTAACCCGACCCGAGGATGAGGGGATTCCGGACGATGCAGACCATTATTTCGCTTTATAATCTTTACTATTCCATAGCGCTACGCATCGCCCATCCGGTCAGGATTGACGCGTACTTTACTTTTTTTTTGACTATTCGCCCAGTCGTTAGTTCGTAACCTTTTAGGCCTACCTCATCGACGAGCGGGGCTGGATTCTCAAAGCCATGCACTGATTCCTACTTTTGGTCATTATTTTCGGGCTCGCGCTTCGTGACTAGCTATGCTCAATCACCAACACTTTTGATGATTCACTGCTTATACCGTTGGATTAAGGTTACAGGGTATTTTCGTTGAACCTTGGGATTCGACATTTATAGGATTTTAAAATTTATGATCAACACGGTGACCGGGATAACATGCATAATCGTAGCGCATTTTCTGATTGTCTGCGCTATCGAGGCCTGTCCGATTGTGGCGTTAGGGGATTTCATAGGTAACGATTTTATTGCCAGTTTATTCCAATTAACTTTATTTTATTGTTAAATATGTTGCTTCCTGGGTATAATGCACAGGCATTTTGAGCAATATACGTGCAGCGCAGACTGAATTGCTTTTTGGGATATTTTATTGAATGGACCACTTACTTTCTCCCCGAAAAAAGTCGCGCTTAGGCTTTCGGCTAGGTAATGGGCGTTTCTTTATTTTTTTTTGTGCACTCTTCTTTATTTTGGCTGGACGTGTTCAAATCTTCATGAGTGTTTTCGTAGTCACCAGTACCAGCACCGTCACCTCTGAAAAGCATCAATCACAAAATTATCAAAAGCTCTCGCTAAAGGGACGGACAAGGCTTAACTTTGCGTGGCCAGCGCTTGGCCGCCTTCAGGAGTTTTATAAGCTTTTCCTCTATAGCTCCAAGTCACGCCTAGTAATCTAATCGGACATTTTTTCAAAGCGTTTTTCCGGAACTTTGGCTATTTCTGAACCAGAAAACCTGACTAAAAACGTAGCAGATATTCTAATTTTTTATTTAAAGACGAGAACAGAGAATTTTTCGGTGGAAGTTTTTCTTCATTACGCTTTAGGTCTTTCCGATATACAGTAGCGGTCAAAAAGATGTCCCCTCGGGAAATCGTTTGGTGTTCAAAAACCACAGGCCCACATTTTATGAAACTTTGCCTCTAGGTCAATTTTAATACGGAGAATCCGATGGTGACCACGAAGTTGGCTGCAAATTTTATTTTAGTCGTCAAATTTGAATTTTTAAAGAAATCGGTAAAATAAACTTTTTCCTGAGGGATTTTCGGGTTTCAAAAATGTGTCCATCGTGCTCGCAAGAGTCGAAAACCTATCTCGAACATTTTTTAAGACATGTATCTCTTTGAGGCTCGCTGCTATGAGGCCGAGAAGTTGTCGCCGCGGGGCGATTTCCTGGCCCCCGTAAGCCTATCCAAGGGAGTTTGGCCCGCGCGACAGCAACTTTCGGCCGTTAGTATGGTCAAGCCCAGGCAGCAAAAACGTCGACAAATAACGGACTAGTGGTTTTCGACCCTTGCGACCACGATGGACACATTTTTGAAGCTCGAAAATCCCTCATGAAAAAGTTTATTTCACAGAATTTTTTAAGATCGAAGTTTGACCATCAAAATCAAATTTTCAGTAGATTTCAATGCTGCCATCGGATTTCCCGCAGCCGAATTTACCTAGACACGAAGTTGCATGAAATTTGGGCCTGTGGTTTTCAAACACCAAACGAACCCCCGAGGGGACATCTTTTTGACCGCTACTGTAGGTCTATTGGCTTAATTTGATGGTTTCCGATTTTGGCAGTGTCTGCATTATAAAAATCAAAATTGAAACGAATTCCGGACCGAAATTTAGAGATTTATTTCAAGTTAAGATTTAAAATTGAAACGTTAATACACTTTAACCAATTTAAATTCTGAATTTGAAAATTTAAAGTTATCAGAGGGTATCCAAGCGGAACACTTACGTTTTCGTCGAACCGTTTTCGCCGAAAATCGTTTTGGTGTCCTCTCGAACGGGTCCGTTTCGCATGCGTCGAGGATCGTTTTTGTTAGTCTTGTGCCGATTTTGGACATCTGAAACCGTACGGCCGTATTTTAACGAAATATAAACTATTTTATAAAATTTTCGGTGATTTCGCATTATCGGGGGTTAGCCGGAGAGGGGGAACAATTTTTTTTGTTTCAATCTAGAACTCCTAGTTAATAGGAAGTATTTTCATAAAGTTTTTTGGTAAAACAAAACCATATTTTAAATCGAAACACTCTTTGAGCGTTGGAATATCGTTCAAAAAGCCAACATTTTGGCAAAAAGCGACCATTTTTGGTCCAAAACTCGATATTTTTATATTGTTTCATAAAAATTAGTAAAAGTTTTTGCGTTCAGGCTCAGTAAAAAATAATTTATAGACACGTTCGCTATATGTGAAAAATTTCGCCCCCTCCCCCGATAATGCGAACGAACGGTTTAGAGATATCTGCGAATTTCTGGCAACTAGCTACGCTGCGCTACGTTTGCATCTTTCTACAGTAGTCAGCTCAAGATTCAAAGTTAAAAGATATCAGCTGTCATCCAAAAGGAATTCTTACGTTGTTTCCGAATAGCATCGTTCATGCGTCTTCGACTATGCTGTCTGCAGCAAAATAATTCTTGCATTTTACAACATTTTCTTCAATATTTCCTCGCTGATAAGTTGTGCCACTTCCGGTCCTTGCAGGAGCTGCAGTATTCGTCCGCATTCAAAAAATTTTTGCAGACATCTCTTCCGTGACTTCGCACAATAGGCTCATCATCGTTTTGGTTGTTGTCGATCCAGTTTTCGATACCTGAAACCATCGACTACGACATATTGGGCTGTAAGCGGGCGGGGGACACCAATTTTTCTCTCGCAACCAATTTCGGCGCAATCTCCCAATATCCAATCTAAAGCATTTTTGCAGATTTTATTAAAGTATTTTATATAACTCTTATCCATATAAAACTGTACGGTTCTTTAGGATTCCCGGGGAAGTATTCCCGGGGGGAAACTAATTTTTTCCTGGTGTTCCCGAGTGACCTAGTAATCAAATATAAAGTGTTTTCCAATTGTTTTTAGTAAGTTTTAACTGTAATTAAAGCAGAATAACTTTCAGAAAAATTTAGAAAAATGTTTGAAAAAGTCGAAAATTTGGTCATTTTGGGTCTTTCCCCCCCCCGCGAATCCTAAAGGTTCTATAGGATTGTTCGACCTAATTTTTATTTTTATTATTTTTTTTGGTTAAAATGTGTGTAGTTTTTATGCTCAGGAATAGTTAAGATCAATTTAGAAACGCATCCGTAATTTATAAAAAAATCTAGGCTTGTGCCGAAAAAAATTTGGTTTCCCCGGGAATACTTCCCAGCGAATCCTAAAGAACCAACTGTACATATAAACTATAAAATGTGTTAACTATTTTTTTTTTATCAATAAAAACTACACTAAAATTTTTCGGTTCGTAGGGTTTTCAACTTCCAAAAATTGACCAAAAAGACTGCAGCTTTTCAAATTAAAACTTTTTAGCCTAACTTGCAGTGTCGTGGTGTGCTAAAATTTAACGATATTCAAACAGAAAAAAATTTGGCCAAAACATAGCAGAAAATTTGAGGTTTTGTTCGTTTTTGGTGGAAAATATCTTTTTTTTTTGGATTTTTTATGGGTGATTGGAAATTTCTATTTTTACAAACGTAAAAGTAAGAAATTTCGTGCCCGAATTTGTAAAAGAAATCGCGGTATTTCTCACGGTAGCTAAAAGTTACCTTTCGCAGAAGCCCGTGAGGCCTAGACAGAGTTTCCGACACCTCAGTTCGGCAGCCAGGGCATGTTCGTTTAGCTGGATCAACGGCAGTTGCATTTGATGAGCATTTTCCATAAATCGTCCATTGTTGCGCAGCGGATGTTGCCCAGTTGTGTGATTCCAGGGCACAGCAGAGGGCTGCTCGTGTTTGTTGTATGTCGCAATTGGTCGAGAATGTTATCTGAAATATCCGGTCAAATAAAGTGATAGAGAATAGCTAGATGACTATAATTCAATTCTATAACTATTCTATAATTATTAAAATTGGCCACAGGATTCTTGAGAACCGAAGCATTACGACATGCAATTTCTCGCCCCTCCAAAGTGTCGACTTTGCACCAAACTTTTTGCTTCGTTTCGCGCGTTTTTGCAGAGAAATCTGTTTATTTGTGAATTTAGACATTTATCCTTTAGTTTTTTTGATTAATAAAGGAAACAAACATGTGAATTTTGAATTACCTGCTGTTGAAAAAATTACCTGTTCAAAAATAAGGCAGTCCGTTCCGTTCATCGTGGACCAACAAGTACCGTGACCGCACGGGTCCAAGTGGCAACATATCGCTGCTCGTGCTTGTTGTATGCCGAATTTAATTGATAATATCAGCTGAAATATCCGGTAAAATCAGTGATAGACAAAAATCTTTATAGCCAGACTATAGCTTTGATTAGATATAACGTTTTCCGAGTTCTAGAACTAAAGTAGCTATGAAATTCTTTTATTCTTGACCCACTACAGCCGCAACACGACCTGCTCCAGTACGTTTTTCGGCGTGAAAACGCGTTAATTTTCAAATTCTGACACCATTTCTGGAATCCACGAGCAATTTTCATCATTCTAAATGTCTTAATTATTAAAATTGGCCACCGGATTCTTCACAGCCGAAGAATTTACTGCCCTGGAGAGCATTACGACATGCAATTTCACGCCCCTCCAAAGTGTCGACTTTGCTCAAAACATTTCGCTTTTATCGCCTATTTCGCACGGTTTTGCAAAGAAATAGTTTTTATGTGATTTTAGGCATTCGCCCTTTAGCTTTTTTTTATCAATAGAAGGCTCCAAAACATGTGAATTTTTTGGGTCACCTGCCCCTTGAAAAATTACTTACTTGTTTAAAAATATGGTAACGGAAGCCGTTCAACGTGGTCCAACAACCAGCGTATCGTGCCAGCTCCAAGTTGCAGCATACACTCAGTAAAATAACTATAAAGGCAGTGGTTTTCGTCGAATATCTCGGCTATTTTTGCACTTATCGAGATGCAATTTTTTGAATAGGCTTCTGAAAAGTCACTTGATATCCTGTACAAATCCGAATCAAATCCGTTCGTGCAAAGTCCGATTTTTGGCAAATGACGTTTTTGAAACTGTAAAAAAACTATAAAGGCAGTCGAAAGAAATTCATTCAAAAATTCCCAAATTATTTTCTTTGCAAATTTACAATACAATCATGGTTGCTAGAACGTTTTCTATTAAAAATTGTTTTCTAGCATTAATGGTTGCCCATGTTTTGTGATTCGACCCGTCATGGCCAGGCCAGCTGATGCCTCCCATCTTGTAACGTTCTCTAAAAAAAAATTCCTTCGTCGGAGCACTATTCTGGCCGCGTCCTTAGCTTGGTTTGGGGTTCTAGTATTGTCGGCCAATTGGAAACGCAATTTGAAACGTCAAGAAAGCGGAGGCAATTCTATAATGTAATCTCTCACAGGTGCGGAAGCGACGAGAAGTTGCTTCAAACCACAGCTGAATCCTAATTTTCGTGCAGAGTGACTTAGGCGGCCTGACCACGGCTTATCCGTGCACGTGTGCAGCTGAACAAAATGTTTCTAGGTTAGCATCTCCTCGGAGAAAAAAATTAGACATCCAAGGCTTTCCAGCTTGCATCTGGGATTTTGAGGGCGTTCCACGGATCCACCGATCGGCCGAACCTTCGGTCCTAGTTACGATTTAATCGTGGTTTACGTGTTTTTTAATCTTGACATGGCTTTTGTTTAGGCCGGAAGCATGGCGATAAAACTTAAGCTTAATCCGAGCAGTCGCTGATGCGACCCCCGATAATGTTGGGTTTCAAGCGCCTTGGACGTTAATTTTCGCCACCACCAAGTGTTTTAAAGTGCAAATATAGTAGCAGTCAAGCATAGAGCATCATATAATTTCCTTAAAAACAAAAATATAGTCCGCTTCTTGAAGCCGTTGCAAAATTAAGCCTCGAGTTCGAATTTCGCCGTCACAAATATCATTACATATTTGTCCACGCGAGCGCCTGGGCTGCTTTCGGTGCCGTTTCCAATTGGCCCACAATACTAGAACCCCAAACTAAGCTAAGCACGCGGTCAGAATAGTGCTCCGACGAAGGAAATTTTTTTAGAGAACGTTACAAGATGGGAAGCATCAGCTGGTCGGGCCATGGCGGGTCGAATCACAAAAAATGGGCAACCATTAATATCTCGCTTAAAAGCTTTCACTCAATTTTCTGCGAAACTTCAGACGCCTGTATCTTCGCGTACGTCAATTTTTGGGTGTTTTGAGCGGCGTCTCGTGATAGAGCATCCCAAGATCTACCAAACCATATATCAAACTTTCAAATCGGACGTTCCTGCGGGTTTTACCAGCGATTCCAAGATTTTGTGCCATTACTTTCTTTCCAACCTGATAGTTATTTTACTGAGTGTACTAAATTCCTGGTGGCTTCGCCGACAAATATCAACTGAAATATCCTGGTATCAGGTAAAATAGAGCAGAATCTGTTGAAAAGACAACGAACTTTTCAATTTTCACAATTTTCAATCGGAATCAACGAACGCCATCTGATGTAGGCGCCATTTTTTTAGGAGAAATCACCCGCAGCCGCGCGGGTTACCGCCTTAAAAATTGTTTTGTTAATGAGAGAATATAATAGTCTTCGGAATCGATGAAAAAATGCCAAGACCAACGAAGCCTTTAAAACGCTGAAAACCCGAAAAAAAAACGTAAGAATTTCGGATCCTGAAGACAGATACGGAATAAAGCAGCGTTAAAAATCAAAGCGAAAACTTCTCTGGTATTTTATAGGAGGCGTGTCAGTGGCATTGTCTCCCTCTCCCTTCTCTCCACGACTTTCTTAGTTTGCACAGAAACATTCGGCCGCATAGCTAGAGGGAGGGCCGGGGCGAAAGCCGCAAAAAATGGCCAGCCGCCGTCCGAACACTTTTTGCACATCACGCGATGTTGCGAACGGCCCCGGCACCGGAGAGAGGGGAAAAAAAGTAAGAGAAACCGAACGGCTGAAAGGGTCAATGTTCACTCATTTCCCGACGGGTTTCAAATGAGTCGCAAAAAAAATTTTAGAAAAATTTTAAGGGTGTGTTGATTTGCATGAATGAACTTCCGTCAACGTGCCCGGAGGATATCTCGATAGGGGATGTGAGGAGAGTTTTAGGGTATCTATGATACGTCATTTGGTGCGTAATGGCCTGGAGCTGACTGCACACTTATTGGAATCCGAGAAATACGCTATTTTCGATATTAAAATTTGGTTTTTGTAAAATTTTCAGCATCAGCCGGAAGTAGACGACGCCGATATAAAGGGCTAGCAGCATAATTTTTAGTTTCTTGACAGTTTATTGGGGCAGAATTATGCAAAGTTTACAATTTCATAGGACACAGACAAGGCCAGAGTTGAAAAGAGGAGAAGAGAAAGCCAAGGTTTGGCCATGAAGTATAACCATAATGTGATCATCATTTTCGGTGTTTTGAGCTTTTTCGCCGAGATTTCATTAGTGTTATTGGATAGAGCGTCGAAAATCATACTCAGAGATTGATTTCAGCCCCGTAACACCACAATTTAAAATTCTTACTTTATTAAGCTAAAAGGTTTAACTAATTAAAAATCGTTAAAAATGAGGTTTTTTGGATTGAAATTAAATCTCTTAGTATAATTTTCGACGCTCTATCCGATGGGGTTTTCAAAATAGCAGGATATTCTTTATAAATACAAAAATTGTTTCCACCCCCGTTATTTGCCCCCCGCTAAGCAACCTTTACTGGTAAGGCCACCAGGACCCACCGCAGGACTGCCTGTTTAGCTCAGTGGGGAGTCGGCTGCCACTGAAAGCATGGGCGAGAGTTCATTCCCCGCCGGCAAAATTATTTTTTGGCTTTTTGCCAAATAACCTTGCGAACCGGATCGGAAAATATTTTTGTTGCAAACGAGCTTTATTTACCTTCTCTGATCCCTGAAATGCCATTTTGAGAAAGAAACGCCCACTTCAAAATTTTTGAAACTGTGGGGGATGGATATGTAGGCAAATCGCCAAAAAAAATTCTGAAAAATTTTATCGGGAAGCTTCACAGTCGTTTCACAAGGGAACGTTCCCAAGTGGAAGTTCGATCGAGTAATGAGAGGCCCCACGTCTACCCCAGTTTTTTACTTATGAGAACGTGAATTTGACGATGACCACTCTATTCTGGCATTTTCATGCGTCCCGCGCCGTGGCCGTTTGCGCGTTCAGAGACGCTCTACGTACCTGATTTTGTTATTGGCGCCATAACTCAATTTCCGGCACTTTGGTGTCCCTTAAAACAACAGCCAAATATTTGTATTTATTGTCGTGTAATTGTTTTGTAGAGTAGGATATGACGCATTTGAGTCGGATCGGATTTTTCATTAGCCTTCTTCTGCCGCTTCTTAGGCGAATTTAAATTTTGAATCTGCAGTTGCTACAGTTGTGCTTCGCATTGCCTCCGCCTCCCGCATAATCCACTTTATCCCACTTCGCAATCTCACTTGGTTCCCGATGGCCTTTTGCATGACCTCCTTTGTAAAACATTCAACTTTTTTTTGTTTTTCTCCCGCATTACCAGCTGCCATTCCTGAAATAATTGGTTACTTTATTGGGCTTAAGTGCAGTTTACCCCCCAGCCCTAACTTTTCAGCCATAAGTCCTATTAATGCGCCGAGTATCTCAAAATGTTCGCCGTGGTCGAATTACTATAAAAAAGTTGTTTTCTTACATCAAAAATTGTTAGAAAAATTTTTATAACAATTATAAGTCTGGGTTTTCTTTAGTTAATTTTTGCTGTTCCAAAGTGACTTTTCGTATCTCGGCTATCTTTTGACGTACAGAGCTGTCAATAGTACCAAAATGTAGCTCTTGCTCTGGAGAATAAGCCTACAGTACGTTTGAGCCGAAAAAAATAGCGGAAAATAAAATATTTGAGTTTTAGACTCCTAGTACATCGAAGCATAGCGGCTTAATCTTTTCAACTTTCAAAATCTTGTAAAAAATTTTTAAGCAATTTTTGCCGCAAGAAAACAACTTTTTCTAGTAATTCGACCACGGCGAACATTTTGAGACACTCGGCGCATTAATAGGACGTATGGCCGAAAAGTTGCGGCTGGGGGGGGGGGGAAACTGCACTCTAACCCTTTATTGAGTCCGCGATTATTGGAAGCTCAAATCCTATTTAGCTTGGGGAGCTTGAGCTAATTGCGCGCGTGCAACTGGAGGTTCTGGACTGTTAGCGGGCGGACAAAATTTGTCCCTGTGATTCTCCAAGGCCCCATAATATAATACCAGCGCCCAAAACCCGCGTCGCGGGCCTTGGCGCTGGAATTTGGCCCTTGCATGAAAAATTGGGCATTCCGATAGCTCGGGTCCTTCGGCCCTGGCCCCGTCTGACCCCATTTTATCCTTCACTTTGCATAATTGTCCTGAATTCAGGAAATTCAAATTTAGAATTCAGAAATCCTGAAAATTTTCTTTTCATCATTAAAAAAGTTTTTTATAGCCTTCTAGCAATCAAAAACTGCGAAAAACACTATAAAAATACATTATATTTACATTAACCGCTTCGCGGCTTTTCAACCCTGGCCCCGTCTAACGCACATCATAGTCAAAAATGTGCATATTTCTTCCCGAACCGATCGCAAAAAAATGAGAAGCCCCACTGGCCCCTTATATAGGCTTTCCCCACTTCCGGCGCATGCAAATTGCCTCCTAACAAAGAGGTTTTTCGATATCTTTACAAAAAACTCAATTTTAATAGCGAAAACAGTAATTTTTCAAAACTTTGGTGTGTTTGCACTCATCTCGGCTTGATTACGCACCTAATGACGTATCATACGTACCCTATAAACATTCCCCTGAGGCCGTAGGTGGAAGACAACCTCACGGAAGTTGCATGCAAATGCACACACACAGACACTATTTTTTTATATATAGTAGGATGATCAACATGGGTGCCGGTGGAACAACAGAAAGTGGTTTTCCCCTTACTAAAAGCCACCCCCCCCCGCTAACAGTCCAGAACCAAATTGCAAAAAAATGCAAATTAACCCTTTTGGAGACACAATCTTTCATATAGGCTCTCCCTCCCGGGAGGTAGCCAAACCAGCGGGACTTTGGTGTATCCTTGAAGGGGCTCCGAAATCTGGTTCACGTCCCTACTAAATTTTTGGCTGTTGAAATCTCGTTCGAAAGGTAAGGCCGCGGCTCTGAAATTGGGCACATTGCCGCAGCATGCCCCGACCTATCTCCCTATCTTCTCCCCCTCCCGTCTGTCCCATGTCCTAGTGGTCCAAAGCGCTTGCCCCAGGCGAGTGGCCCTGGTTCGATTTACCGTGACCGCCTACCGTAACCCTGTTTACTACCCCGCGGACGGTTACCGCCGGTAACCAAACCAACGAGACTTTGGTGTACCTTTAATGGGCAGCCAAAGATGGGGGATAGAATCGATGGCGATCCACAAAAACCCTCATCCAACTCATACCAGTAGCTCGCTTCGAAAAAGCGCTCTCGGCCTCACTCTTTTCGGCCTCATTGCCAAGCTTCTTTTTTTCATCGTAAAACGCGAGTGCCTCTTCGGCAAATCTCTTGATGGATGTGCCAAATGCACTCTTGGGTAGTAGTAAGGATAGGGCGTTGGCGTGCTATAATAGGAACCTTACAGTACAGGATACAATCACGTAAGCCGGACCTTTTTGAAGTGATTTATTCCAGCCTCATGGGATTCGTAGAAAATCAGCTTTTTCGTCACCTATAATTCGTTATGACGAAGCGTTTGGTTAAATGGCTTCCACCTCCAATGCGTTGGGAATTCCACCTTTTGAGAGATCGTTAGCGTGTTCAATGACGGCCTGGAATTAAACATTGTGCCCGCTCTGTTTAAATATGGTAAAGGGTGTCGCAAAAAAAATCGGCCCGCCTCTAGCGGGTGGGTGAAGCGTCCTATTTTAAAATTGACGATAAGGTGTCTATCGAAAGTTCTCAAAAAGGCGAGAAAACAAGTACTACTCTTTTTCCGACATAGACATTTTAATTCGCGACTCTTAGGACATAAATTCATGAAGACCGCAGATTTTATGCGAAAGAATTATAGAAAAAGCTGCTTGAAGTGAAACTCTTTTCAAGATCTCTTGCTGCTGAAGAAATGGTTTTTATTATAATATACACCTGTTTTAATTCTTCTACATCTTGGAAAGTAGTACGAGCTCCCAGCACCAGCCTTAACGTTTCGTCTTCAGCCCAGCCCACATAGCCATCCGGTAGGAAACAGCCTGGGATGGATGACCCCTGACAGTGGATTTCGTTATTGACGGGGTAGGGCAGGGCGTCTTACACTTGCATCCGAGATATGACTAGCCTCATGACAACTTTCCTCCGGCAATATTTCATATGGGGGAAAAGCGAGTTGCTTATAAAAGATATAAAATGGTGCCTAAAATAGCAAAATCACTTCTGTTATAATTACATGTTATCTACCTCCTTTAGGTTCTTAGCTTCCTGGAGCGCCGTTTTTGAACTCGCCCGGTCATCTGGCACTCGACAAACACATCTAGGTTTTTCTGGTGCAAGTAGAATATACGGTATATGTCGGCTACGCGGGGGGGGGAAAATTTTACGCGGGGGGGACGGACTGTTGGGACCGAGCTAACTATTTTTTTGCGTTTCTTTTTGCTACAAACCAAACTCTTAGTATATTTTTCGACGCTCTGTCGAATGGCACTAAAGAAATTTTGTAAAAATGTCGAAAATGTCGAAAATTTGATTTCCTTCTATGTCCTCCATGGAAACAACGTTTAATACTTGTTTTTGTTATAACTATTTTGTATTACATTATTTTGAGCTAAAATTAAAACTCTTAGTATATTTTTGGATGCTCTATCGAATGGCATCTTTAAAATGTCGAAAAAATAGCGCAAATGTCAAAAAACAGCCGCTCAAACCGATTTTCAAAGTTTATTTTTGTGTTTGCCATAACTTTTTTATATTACACTAATTTGAGCTAAAATAAAAACTCTTAGTATATTTTTCGGTGCTCTATCGAATGCCGTTGAAAAAATTCCGAGAAAATAACGAGAACAGCCAAAAAGGCCTGCCTGTCCCGTCCCCCCCGCGTAAAATTTTCCCCCCCGCGTAGCCGACATATACCGAATATACATGGGTCGGGGCCTGGGGGCGCCGCCAAATGCCCCTCTCGAGGAGCCTTTTGCGGGCGCCTTGGGTGGGGCATTTTTCCGGTATGCAGCGATGCAAATTGCGAAAAAACGCTTTTCAGATGACTTTTTGCAATTTACATCGCTGCATACCGGAAAAATGCCCCACCCACGGCGCCCGCCGGCCCCACCCAAGACGCCCCCAAAAGGCTCCTCGAGAGGGGCATTTGGCGGCGCCCCCAGGCCCCGACCCATATATAAAGTAGAATATTGACAAACTTTGCGATGAGATCGGCGATTGAATCTCGACACGTCGCTCTTTCTACCTGTCCACCGTTACAAATTCGCGACATGAGTGCGCCGGCATTGTTGATGTTATGAAAAACATTGCTGAAATTCTACGATTTGAACAACCACCTCACGTATATAAACAGCGTGGCCAGTAGATCGTGTATACAACTCAATTTAGCTAAATGGAACCATAAAAAAAGCTTAACTTTAATTCAAAGATGTTCGCTTCAATTCCCAAGCCCTTTCAATTTTTTGTTCTAACCACCATCGGCCAGCACAGGGAGTCATGCCAACAATAAATGTGAAGATTTTCGAGTTGGCTTGGGCTGGCTTGAAACTACAGCTCAAAAAAAATTGCTCGAATCGCAGAATTGCCCGGTACCATTTTTGATACGGGTTTGCTGGTTTTTTGAGCCCCCGAATACCAAAAATTTCGCCCGTTCCGTGAAGCAGGGTCAAATTAGATGTAGACTAGGTTTAGCAGGGTTCTCAAGGTTTGCTGCAAAACGAGAAACGATAAAAGATCGATGGTCAAGGGCGGAAAACCGTTTCTCGTTCAAGAGAACGAGTAGAAATCGGGTTGATTTGTTCGTAACCGTTCGCAAAAAAAAGCCAGACTTCCGAAGAATATGATGGAATTAGATGTGGAGAATCCTTCTCACCAAGAGATTGCACCCGTAAACCCCTTCGCCCAATTATCGACAATTCTCACCGTCTTTCGATACATTCCCAAAGCACAAGACCCGTGGAATAGACATCGCTGGCATAGGTATACTGAAACGGTTTTTAAAGCGCAGGTTCAGGGAGGGGCCGTGTACTCGTCCCAACGTGTACACCCTATGGACGTAGGGACCGCGCGCACTGCCTGCCCGTGCTGTGACAGGCCATTCCCCTCCTTTGCGGGGTGGGGCGCCTCTCGCCCCATCAGCAGGTTGCATCTGTGGCTGACTGGTCTGGTAAGTATTTCCGGGGGGAACCAAATTTTTTCCTGGTTTCCCGGTCGACCTAGTAATCAAATATAAAGTGTTTTCACATTGTTTTTAGTAAATTTTAACTATATTTAAAATAGAAAAACCTTTCAAAAAAGTTAGAAAAATGTTTGAAAAAGTCGAAAATTTAGTCATTTTGGGTCTTCCCCCGCTAATCCTAAAGGTTCTATAGAATTTTTCGACCTAAAATTAAAATTTTAATTAAAATGTGTGTATTTTTATGCTCAGGACTAGTTAAAAACCATTTAGAAACGCATGCGCTATTTAGGAAAAATTTAGGCTTGGGCCGAAAAAATTTGGTTCCCCCGGAAATCCTAAAGAACCGCATTCGACCCCCGGCCCCGGCAAAAATCCTTTTTTCCCAAGAAAGGTCCCTGAACGTGACTGCAGGGGCATACTCAGGGACGTAGCGTAATACCGGCCCCGGGGCCCGCCCCCGAAATCGGCCGGGGCCCGAAAATTTCATAAGGGGGACCCTTATGATTTTTATTTTCTCAAAAATTTTGCTGCCTGCGGCGCTATTTTTTACGTTTTTACGGCTATTTGTAGAGCTATGGAACCTTTTTTTCAAAAAATTTTGCCTGCGGTGCTGTTTTCTCGTTAATGTTTTGAATTTTTTGGAAAAATTTTTTGGGCCCCCCGAAATTTTTTTCTGGCTACGCCCCTGGGCATACTACCTCTGCCTGAAGTGCTTTCACGTTCGCAAAAAAAAGCAAAAGGGCACCAACCTTTTTCTCACCGGCAAATACTTCTGGCGCGGTATATCGCAAAGTACCTGGACAGCCGTAGCTGAAGATGAAAATTTTTTTCACGCCGTCTTGAAGGACACTCACTTTGAATGCTCGGTTAGCTCCGACTTTGATCCGCCAAAGTCGCAAAGTTTTATTTCATATTGTGGCCCGAGAAGTATGCTGAATTTCGTGAATTCGAAAAGCAGTGGACCCACTTTGACGGCTTAATATCGCGATGGTAAATTCTCTCTGTTTCAAGATAGACTAAAGCTTCAAATAATTCACATGCCCAATCGATTACAAGTGCAACAGAATAACGTCGATTCTCATCGGTGATGACTAAAATCTGTGTCAAACCCAAACGATCACGATCCCACATGTTTTCAGGTCACCACGTTTGCAATATTCCATCACAATGTTGGCCGTCTTCCCGTCGTCACTTTGAAAGAATTCTATATATTCCACAATACTTGGATGTGAAAGTTTTTGAAGGTTTTCGACTTCACGGCGAAGGTGGGTCGGGTGTACAATCTGTCTAATACGCTTGACAGCCACATAACTGGAAAAAACAAAATTTTATGTGAAAAATAAAATATACCGCCCATTCCTGAACTCGCAATATACAGTGCCAAAACTTCCAGAACCAAGCTCACGACCTTGGGTTGTGCTCATAATTAGTGGCCGGAACAGTCAAAATTAGTTTGAAATTGGCGATGTGCTGAAAAATGGGCCGACAGTAAGCCTATTCTCGCTGTTCTCGCACGAATCGATTCGGCCACGCTGTTGTGATAAGGCGCCGCTAGCTTGGCCCAGAACAGGGCGAAATTATTGGCTCATTAAAAAACTAGGCAAATGCCAGCGTCACGACGAAATAGGCCAAATACGGTTTTGCGTAAAAAGGGGTTGCCAGAGCTATAATCCCCTGACACGTGATGATCAGATATGATCTTGATCCTATCATCTGAGATAGCCTCCATTGTTTATCACACTAGGTCAGACCCTCTCCAACACAAAAAATCTATATATCTGTAAGTGGTTGCGCCTGGGTCACACTGTCTAATTTCTTACATGCATCGGATGTTGAAGTGGTTGACATTGGTTCCCTTGACCTATGCGATATCAAAGTCTCTATTTGGTAAGTTTCAATCGAGCAATGGCCAACTTTCTCCGTCCTCTAATTTTCTTCAAAATCGTCGTTTAGCCGATTTTTCAAACGGATTCGCAAAAACTATTACGGCAGACTTTATCCGGCCTCGAAAGCCCCTTGTATCTCCAAAAATTACCCATTTTCAGCAAAGTTTTGACCCCGACTATTAGAATTCGGTTCTTTAGGTTTTAGGGAGCAAACCAATTTTTTTCGACACAAGCCGAAATTTTTTTATAAATAGCGGATGTCTAAATTGTTTTTGGCTATCCCTGACTATAAAAACTACACACATTTCGATTAAAAAATTTACGTTTCGGTCGAAAAATCCTATAGAACCTTTAGGAATAGCGGGGGGTGAAGACCCAAAATGACCAAATTTTCGACTTTATCAAACATTTTTCTACCTTTTTTGTAGGTTTTACTACTTTACATATAGTCAAAATTCACAAAGAACAACGTGAAAACACTTTGTATTTGATTACTAGGTCAACCGGGACCGCCAGGGAAAAATTGGTTCCCCCCCGCGGAAATCCTTTCCCCCGGAAATCCTCAAGAACCGAGAATTTAGTTCTTTATTTTAGTTATTTTTTTTGGTGGGAGGCTAAACAATCTTTTTTCACAAACACGTTTACTACACGTTATAGAAATACCCTCACCCGGTGCCCTGGTTTTGGAACACTTACTCGAAAAGCAATGGCCTGCAGAGAATATGTCCGAAGTTTCGGCAGCTTTCAAAGAATACCTTCGGGACAGTGCTGCAATTGCTCAATTGATCGCCGCAACAACTTTGTCTCACATGGCGGTAGGCAAATTCTTTTTTAAAGGGATAACGACGAAATAAGTAATCGGTGACGCGGGGGCAGGAAAATGTCACTGCGTCTCGCCCCTGGGCGCGTTCTTTGCCCTGTTGGCTACGTGCCAAGGAGCCGATCTGAGGTGATCGACCCATGCCGTCGGTATCCCTTTAACTTTACCAACGCCTCGAACGCTAAAAACGCAAAACGCAGAAAAGACAAAAACTTCTTCAGGGTTCTACCAATCCCTACGTCCGCAACTTTACAAACACTTTGAACACCGGAATCTCAAAAATGAGCCAACGTATCGATGAGGGATTCTTGACGAGAAGTGTCCAGAGGAGCGGAGTTTACGAGGTATAAACTTAGATTTTCTTGTTGAGATTCATATGGTCTGGTGAAGAATTCATGTGAAAATGGATCAGATCAAAAATTCTAAAAAAATTAAGTTTCTAAAAATGCTTTGATAACTTTTTCGTAATACATCGGAAACTGTCAAAAATAGCATAAAACTTTTTTATGCTTTTTACATTTTTAGGATATGCTTCGTAAAATGAATAAGTTCTTCTTGAAAGCGTTGGCCACAAACGAGATGAGTCTGAGCTTTGCCTGCCATCATTTATCCCCTGCCGCAATGTTCCAGGTAATAGTTTTCAATATACATCTGAAAACAATCGCAAAAATCACAAAAAACGGGAATATTTTAGATCTTCAACCGGTTGCTCCAGTGTGAGCCGATAACCTGGCAACGGCACATATTTATCTCCTCATTGCTTCTCTGGTTTGATTTTTACGCCGTACGAAATAATCTCAAAAAAGAGGAGGCTGATGATTATGAACATTACAAAAACAGTAAGTCTTCAAGTCTTTCAATTGTTCTTCCTGTGAATTGTTCATTTTTTTATAGAAATGGAGGGATTTCACACTTCTTTCCAGACAATAAACAATTTTCCAATAAAAATTATGATTAAGTGGTTTTCCAAGTTACTTTATCACATCTTCATTTTAAAAGAAAGTTAAATTGTAATATCAACTGGGATATGCGTAAAAACTTTACGAATTTCGGTTTCACTATACAAAAAAAAGTCAAATTTCCAAAGTTTATTTTAAGATTTCAAAATAGCTTTTCCATTTTAAATCTGGATAAATTTTATCAAAAACCAATTCAAATACTATATTGAATTTTGATAATAATAAAGGCGGCACATCCGCATAAAAAAATTTTCCTCGCCGTTTTTTTGTTCAGATTACGTCTTCATGAAGTCAACGCCGGGACACTCAAATTTTTCTTTACCCGCGACGTTATTAACTGGGGACAACGGTGACGATATACGGGATGAAGGGTTCAAGGCATGGTGTACGTCGTCTAGAGGTTCAGCCTTTCCATTTTGCACCTTTAGCGTTTGCTACCGATGCTGGTCCGAGACGCTCCGATATGACGCCCCGGATGGCCTATTTCGCGCCGATGAGCAACGAAAAGTGGGTGCTTTTCTGTTACCGGGGGGGGGCAAATTTGCATCGTTAATCCGGTATTTTTTTTTATAGAAAATACAAAACTCCATAACCATTTGCCCGTTCGGCAAAAATTTGGTTTTTGGCGGAAAATGACCAAAAATTATGAAATTATGAAATTTTTAAATTTTTAAGACGTATAACATAATTTCTCAGTGATTAAATATGTTATATACCATATTTCATGAAAAAGTAGGTTTATCCAAAAACCTAAAGGTTAATTTGGTTGGTTCGCCTCTACGGTTAGACCGAAAGTGCCAAACACCAGATAATGAAAAAAGTATCTATAGATGTATGCTGGAAATGCTGAAAGCGGATTACACGTTACGGGCCGAATATATTGGCGAATTGGGACAGACGATGATCAGGGATTTGGAGAGAATTGTGAGCAAGCACGCCCAGATTCGGATCCAATTTTCTAGTGGATTAGAGTGACTATTTTTAGACCGTATTTTCATATTCCTAGTCGTACATCTTTTCAAAAATTTTTGGAAAAATATCGATTCAAGATTCAAGAATTTGAAACAGACAAAATCCAATCACATCAATTTCAAAGAATTGATTTAATTTTGCAGGCATTACTCTCTGATATTTGCCGCCGTGTCCTTGTCAATGAGCCAGATTATGTGTCCGTATACAAAGAACAAGATATCGTCGGCACCGCTGCAAAACTTCAACAATTGCTCTTGGCTAGACTAGTAAGATTTTCGTTTGCTTTGCTTTATCGCTAATTCTCTAATTCAACTCAAGTTTCTGCTCAGCATTAATTCCGCTTTACAGAAATACGCGATATGGCCACCAGGATCTCCAAATTATTACTGAAACAGAAAAGGAAAAACGACTAAAGCCGGAAGCCACCACGATCATCCAAAATCGGCTACTGGCAAATTGCCGGTAATCCTTTGCCTCGATTTTACTTTTTGCATAAATGTCAAGATTATTACCGTGTCACTGTAGAAATAAACAGCTATGGTTCTCGTGTGACTGTTTTAAAGCGTTCTGCCAAGGTAGCCAGGGTCTGAATCGTTTCGCCCAGCGAGATATTTCTACCCAAAATTCACTTTTTTTTTGACGCACCCTATAGTACAGTAAGTCATACGGTCTCTACGGTCAATTTATTTCCACTGTGTTCGTAGCATATTAAAATAGGCATTTGTTTGGTCGTTTCCCTTTCGCGGGTCATTTTCGTAGGGTAATGGTCGAGTGTTCGCTCGGCAGAAGGGGACTTTTTCTGAAAATCGAAACTAGTACTTGCAAGCTTCCGAAAGGCGTACCTCTCAAAATTCGGCGCCACTCGGATCGCCAGAAGAATGGGAGAAGGAGTACCGGTACGGAATAGCTGGAAAATTATAGGGTTTATCTCGAAAATTTCAGTATATGGTAACACAGAAACACGTGAAAAGTCAACACATTTTTTTGGAGCCTTCGAAACCGCGGAAAACTGTTCATTTTTGAGTGTTTTATTGTTTACACAATAAAAAGTTTTAGAAACTTACTAATTGCATACGGTGGAAAAGAGCGCTCGCCACCAATCAAAGTCATAATCATTTAATGAATATACTAACGGTACAGAGAAGACGACCAAGAAGATCATATTCAGGATGAGGGACGGGGCGAAGAGCAATTTGTAGAGCTGAAAAATCGAGAGTTGCAGATATTTCGACGCCATAGTTGTCGTAATCGAAAAAGGCGCATTAACATTTCCGATCCACAAAGGTGAAAGACGAGCCGAAAATGTATATCTATTAATGTGCTGACACCAAATCGACCAGCTCTTCAGTTTTTATAGCAAATTGGGAGCAAAACCCACCAAAATAATGCGAAAATTCTCGATAATCTGGTATCTTTCGCTGAGGGAATAGACCGCGACGAGATTGGGTTTGAAGAGTTGATCGTGTTGTCGTTCCGTTACGGTTGAGACGTATTTGTAGAGCTGGAAAAACAGATGCAAAAGGTACTGAATTGGGGATGATTTAGGTCTCCAAAGGAAAATTCTAAAAACTCACCAGGGATGAGAGGAAATTGACAAAAATCATAAAAGCGAGCAGGTAGAGCATGTGACCCCATTCTGAAAAATAACGAAATTTATTCTCTCTCTTCCTTCCATCCATCTGTGTCTCTCTCCACTTTTCTCTCGTTCTCACTTTCACTC